GCTGCGGCTGAGAAGGCGGCGGGGAGGGGCCGGCAAGCGGGCCCCGCCGAGCCCGGGGAGGGGCCGGCGGCGGGGAGGGGCCGGGGGGTGTCGAGCACCCCGGGTGGCCGCGAGGCGTGTCCCCGCGGTGCCCCGAAGGAGGTGTGTTCCGGGCCCGCGGCGGCGGGTGCCAGGGGCCCTGGCTGCACACCCACGTTCGTACGGCCAGAATGGGGAGGTGGCTTCCGTGGGGAGAACTAGGGGCCTGTTTGACACCTGGGGGGCCGTAGTGGGGGGCGATCTGCGCATTCTGGGGGCGCAGAAGGGCTTTGTGCCCGCCTCCGGGAGGTGAGGTGTGCTCCGTAGGCCACCATAGAGAAAGTTGCTCTTCCACGGGAGATAGGCCCGGACTGGGCGTCTTGGGGGGCAGAGGCGAAAGTGTGTGCCGGAGGGCGGCAGATGAGGAGGGGCAGGAACGACCGACAGGGGACAGATGGAGGGGAGCGTCTTGTCGGGGCAGGAGCGAGGCTCGGGCCCTCCAGAAACACGGGGGGCAGGCTTGTAGGGGGCCGGCCGCCTCCTGCAAGAGGAGAACAGGAAGCAGGTGCTAGAGCTCAGGGAGGAAAAGGGGGTGTGTATTGGCGGGGTGTGGGCTTCCACCGGAGGGCAGAGGAGGGGCTGTGGAGGGAAGAGAGGGCCCCAGAAGGGTGCCTCAGAGGGACAGGGTAGGCACTCTGTAGAGTCAGAGTGGGGGGCGGGAGGGCTCCCTGCACACACACCTGAGGAGGAAGCAGACAAAGGCCTGGAACGAGAGGGAAGCTGCCCATGCATGGAAAATAGAGCAGAGGAAGGAGGGGACTCCTTGGGGACCTGAGCAGACACATTAATTGAAAAATTAAAAATTAACTAACATTTGTAGATGCCTTCATAGTTTTGCTCACTTAAGTCTCTCTACAACCCCATAAGACAGGCTGCTTTTTGACTTGCATTGTAGAAAGGAAACTGAGGCCCAAGAGGAAGCTTGGGGCAAAGCCTGGTGCTGGCCACCTGCAGTCCCTCACCTGTTGGGCCCACTGCCCTGAGGGTGGGGGCCATGCACATACCTTTGGCCAGGCAAGTGCACACCATCACCTGGTGGTACCAGCACCCTGGGTGGTGGCAAGCTGAGCCTGGGCAGGACCCTCTGAGCGCTCCTCCGCTGCAGTTCCAGGGCCTGCAGCTGGAGAGAGAGGCCTGCTTGGCCTCTAACTATGCGCTGGCCAAGGAGAACCTGGCACTGCGGCCCCGCCTGGAGATGGGTCGGGCTGCTCTGGCTATCAAGTACCAGGAGCTCCGAGAGGTGGCTGAGAACTGCGCAGACAAACTACAGCGACTGGGTGAGGGACATGGGGACACCCTCAGGAATGGGGTGCACTTGGGCAAACCTGGTCCTGGGCAGACTCCTGGCCTGGAAAATAGTGTAGGCAGGAGCTTGGTGGATGAGGAGGGCTGGGTAGAGAGGTCTAAGGGGCCCTGGACAGTGGAGAAAGGGGGCCTGATACTCAGGCGTCTCCCTGGGCAATGGAAAAAGGGGCCTGATACTCAGGCGTCCCCCTGGGGTGCTCTAGGCATCAAAGGCCTTGCTTTCTCCTTTGCAACACTTGGAGGCAAGGAATGCACAAACTGGTCCCATGGGCCCTGTACAGATGGGAAAACTGAGGCTCCAGAGAAGGGAAGGGAAGCATAGAATCGCACAGAGTCAGAGCCCTTAGACTGTCCCGCCTGTCACTTGGTCTCTCTGTGGCCCTCAGAGGAGACCATGCATCGCTGGAGTCCCCACTGTGCACTGGGCTGGCTGCAGGCTGAGCTGGAAGAGGCTGAGCAGGAGGCTGAGGTGAGGGGAGGTGGCTGGGCCTGGACACCAGAGGGAAGAGCCCTCCTGTCCTTCTGGGGCTCACTGCAAGGCAGGCTGGGAGCTCTTTCCTTAGCCCACCAAGGGCCTGGTGTGGTTGACCACACTTCAGTCAGCCTTGGATGGCAGGGCACAAAGTCCCCACCTGTGGACCCAGTCCTTCCCACACACATACTATCCCAGGATGGAGGAGGCTGGGCCTGTAGAGGCTCTGAGGCTGACTTCTCCCTTTCCCTCATGCTGGGTTGAGAGTGGTTGGGTGGAAAGGTCAGGCAAGAGGGAACTTCAGCTGTACTTGGGGTCTGTTCCCACCTTGGGTCCTGCCGCTCTCTGAGCCTGCAGGGCTGATACTGGTGCCCTCACTCTAGAAGTAAGGACAGTAGCCCACAGTCGCTCAGCCAGGCAGAGCAGGCCAGGCTGGAGCTTGGGCCATGGGTGGTCCCGTGGGTAGGAACTGGGAGGGAGGTTTCCCTGGCTGCCTCCTACCACACTTGCCCCCTTCCCTTTCTCCCAGGAGCACATGGAGCAGTTGCTGCTTGGTGAGCAGAGCTTGGAGGCCTTCCTGCCTGCCTTCCAGCGTGGCCGGGCCCTGGCCCACCTGAGGCGGACCCAGGCCGAGAAACTGCAGGAGCTGCTGCGGCGCAGGGAGCGTTCTGCCCAGTCAGCCCCCACCGCTGCTGCTGATGCCCCCAAACCCTTCCCAGCTGCAGCTGTCCTGCCCACTGGGGCCGCCCGGGGGCCACCTGCTGTACCCAGGAGCCTACCCCCCTTGGACTCCCGCCCAGTGCTCCCACTGAAGGGCTCTCCCGGGTGCCCCCTCGGCCCAGCACCTCTGCTGAGCCCCCGGCCCTCTCAGCCAGAGCCCCCCCACCGGTAGGATCCAGGGTGTGGCCCCCCAGTGGGGGGTCCAGACAAACTTGATTAGAGGCTCCTCCTCCTCCCCCACTGCCTGGGTGGGGGGAGGGGCAGGCCCCTCCCCCTGGCCTCAGGCAGGCCCTGGCCCTGGAGGCTGAGCTGGGGAGGAGGTCACCTGGAGGAGGCTGAGAGGGCTGGGGGTGGGTGGGCAGGGTGTTGGGCCCTGGCACTGAGGAACCTCTGCCTTTGTCGTCTCCCGGGCTGGGGCCTCTAGGGCCATGGGCCAGGCCCATGCAAGAACTGTACTCACCCAGGGGCCTAGGAAGGTACCCACTTCCCTGGGGGCTCTGCCCAGGGGGCCTGTTGCACCTTGCTGCTCTACCGGCTTGCACAATGCCAAGGCCAACGGGAGTGTTTTCCATCATATCCTGAGCCTATCTTTCCCCCAGCTCTGGAGTCACCACCTAGGAGCCAGCGGCCAGGCCCCAGCTGTGGGGTCAGGGACACTGCGGCCCTGGGCTGCTCTGGGACCCTCTTCTGCTCCTTCCTGGAGCAGGGTAGGCCAGGGGGCATCTGACCCGCACAGGCGAGAGTGGGCCATCCCCAGGAAAGACCATTCTGTATTTTTCTGTCCCTGTCTCCTTAGAATGGAACCTTTTTGAGGGCAGGTCCTTGTCTTTGTATGTTCTGTCCCCAGCCCCGCCTCCTAGGGGCCGTCAATAAATGTGATGATGAAGATGCCGCTGCCTGCCTCCTCTCTGCCCTGTCGGCCAGCCTCCACCTCAGCTTTCAGTCTTTCTACTCCTGAGAGGCCCTTCTTCCTCGGCCCAGCCAAAGCCTGGCGGCCCTGCAAGTCAGATACCGCTTCTGCCTCTTCCAAGAAGCCTCCTCTGATTACCACCCAAGAAAGCTTTTCCTAAACCTTACCCCGAGCACTTCCAACCAAAAGCAAACTGCTCTTCAGCAAGTCTCCTGTCCACACCTCCCAGGGTCGTGGAATCAGGATGCTGCCTGCTTCCTCTCTGGTCTGTCACAGGACCACCACGTGCTGGAGGGGTCTGTAGGGCTGGAGGGTCTGCTCTCCACTTGTTAGGTGGCCAGCTTGGCTGATGAGTATGGAGCAAGAAAGGTGAGCAGGATGTGCTTAGGTCAGGGTTAAGGCATGAGGATTGGTCGAGGACACAGAACCCCTGCAAAGGGAGATTTGCAAGAATGCTGTGGAGGCCTGCCAGCCTAGTACCATCAGGGTTTATGAGCAGAAGCTTCAGGATTGGGATCAGTAGTAACTTAGGCAGCATCTGAAGGGACTTGTCTGGAGGCCTTGTCCTGGGACTTTGAGGATTGTTGTCCTAGGATGGCACCGGTAAAGCACTGAGAGCCCACCTCACTTGAGAACCCACCTTGGCCATGGTTCTTCTGCCTGCTTCATTGCTTGCACTTGAGCAACTGGAGGCTCAGAAACATTAGGTGAGTCCTAGACACAGGCGACTAAGTTGGGGACACAGGGTAATTCCTGAGGGAACAGGCTTTTCCTTCCTGGCCAAGCTTCCGGGTTTTAGTTTGCAACCATGAGGAGAAAGGCAGCTAAAATTGGGCAACTCTGAGCCTTTCTCCACTCCTGTGATGTGGGCAGGGGTATCTAGAAGAAAAGGCTAAAAGTTCAGGACAGGTAAGACCAGAGGAAGGCAAGACCCCGCCGAGAGAGACTGGGAACCAAGTGGGGTCCTTCACAGCGTCTCCTACGCCTTACCTTCCATGAAGGCTCCAGCCCTGAGTTCAACTCAGCCAAAGACCTGAAATCGGTGGGGCCAGCAGGAGCTTACTTCTGGGGCACATGGGGGAAGTTTGGAGTTGGCTGGAAAAACTTCCCAGAGCCTCTTGCTTGAAAGTACATGGACATTCTGAAAGGTCTCAGAGAGCCTGGGCCCTTCCTCCTGCCTGAAACTTGCTTCCAGGTTCTGAGGCCTTGAGAAACAATCCTGGCAACAATCCTCTGTGACAGAGGCCAGCTTTGGAGGTGCGTACACATGAAAGGTGCATGTGAAAGGTCCTAGAACAGGCCATTTATGCCTTCACAAACCAGAACCAAATCATTCCCCAAATAACAAAACCACCTCTTTTGGATTAAAGGTTTTGTCCCTCAAGAAAGTTTCAGGTATGCCTCTCTGTTTGGGAATTACTAGCTTCTCCATGGTTTTCCTAAACTTCTCCCATTGTTTTCCAAATGTGAAACAACACTAAATGTGCTTTGTTTTACTGAGCAAGGCTCACTGGGCCTCACAGGCCTGCCAGTGTGGTCCTCGCAAAGCCTGGCTGACAGCCTGCCCTTGACCTCCACAGCAAGAGAACCGAATGGTTTCTAAGAGAACAAGTTGGTTGGACTTGCTGCAGGTTGTCTCAGTTTATACAAGGATTTTATACAAAAGCCTGGCTGGAGGAATTGGTGTTATGGTATCAAGGACCTCTGTTGTGTGTAAGACTTGCCTTTGCCATAGGGCTCTCAAAAGATGTTTCTTGCCCCACCATGAATGTAAGATTTATACTTGGGCTGGGGATGTGGCTCAGTGGTAGAGCACCTTCTAACCGCAAGGGCCTGAGCTGGGTCCCAGCACTGGCCCCTGACCCCCAAGGGTTTACACTCACCCCTCCTGTGTGAAGTGTCTACTTAAATGAACATTCTTCAGACCCTAAGAATCTGCCAATTCCAATGCCCCTGTGGGCCAGGAAGGTGGCACAGAGGTGCTAAGCAGTTGGTTTCCACAAAGAAACTGCTCCCACCACCACTGTTTTGGAAATGCATGGTCCTAACAGCTAGTTTTACCCTTGATGGACCTGGGGCAGAGGAGGATTTTTCTACTAGAGAAGATGACACAAGTGTGTGTGGAGTGAGGCCCTTCACATGTTGTGGTCTGTGGTCGCTGCTTCCAGCTGCTGGAATTGCCACAATTGAGGAGCAGTGTGTCCTCCTCTTTAGGGAGACTACTGTGCTAAGGCAGTTCCCTGAACTGGGTGTTGGATTTTCCTTTTTTTTTTTTTTTTTTAGAAGTCAGCAATCTGTATGCTTCCACTAAGTCTCTCATGTTTCAACCTTAAAAAGTTATTTTAGGACACTGTGCAGGTCAAACACTGTGTGCACTCGGACCGTGGGCCATGAATTATGTATGGATCTATCTGTGCTTGGTCCCCCCAAACAGGTCTTCATGTGTGTCTACTGCAGTCCCCTCCCAGGCAGGGCTAAGGGTGTGACTGCTGAAGGAACAAAGGCAGGAGCAGGAGGGGTAGCCCACCTCAAGACTAGTGACAGGAAGCCAGGTTAGAGGAGCTCAGGAGAGATGGGGAGACTCCTGTGACCTCCAGATGAGGGTGAGAAATGAAGTGTGCACAGGATGAGGGCACGCGGTCCAGACTCTGAGCTCATCGTGGTTTGAAGCTATTCAGAGGGCGGCTCAGCTATGTGTGCTCAGCACCACTGGATGCCACACTGGGGCTGGAGGCTGAACTAGCCAGGGCAGCCAGGCAGGTCCTCCCCAGGATCTTGCTCACAGGTAGGTGGCGGTGTGTGAACTCATCACAGGGCCGAGGAATTAACTGACAGCAGGCAAGGACCAGGACAGAGCCCGCTCTTCTGAACCCTGAATTTAAGGGTCCTTCTCTGCCTATTTTTCCAGGTCTGGGGGGCTAGGAAGCCCACAGGCTCAAGGGACAGGCCTTTCCCATCTCCCAAAAGGGAGTGTGGGTGGCCACCCACTCAGTGCCTCTGAAGGCCTCTGGTGTCACTCAAGACCTGGTGGACAAGTGCTTGGCCTGAGGGTTATTCTCAATCATCCTAGCTCGTGACAGAGGCCAAAGGCCTAGTGAGTGACTGCCAGAAACTAGGAAGGAAGGAAGGAAGCAGGAAGACATTCTGCTCAACATGGGTCTGCAGAGGGACATTTCTACCCAGCGATAGATAAGACCCATGAGAGAACAAAGCAGTCTGCCTCACAGGAAATGATGTCCTGATCAAGTCCAGAGCCAAGAGCACAATGGCGAGCGTGTGCACCTCTGATTCCTGTCTGGTGGCCCAAGAGTCCACCACGGGACCTCCACATGCTGCTCTCAGAGTCTTGGTACCTCAACCCTTTTCTCACTTCCCGAGCAGTCTGGGGCAGTGTCCTCCTGGGGAACAGCCTTAGAATACAGGGCTAATGTGCTTGGCCTTCTTCAGCATCTTCTTGCAGCTAACAAGCAGAGAAAGGACAGACCCAGGACACCCTGGGAGGTTGGTGGTAGGGAGAAATGTTACTATCGGAACCTGTTGGGGATGTTTCAAAAAGCTTCCCACATCTCTCCCTTGATGGAGGGTAGGAAATAGAGTCTCTGACGGGTCTCAACAGGGTGACAAAAGTGGACACGCTCAGAGTGCAGCAGGCCTAGTTCTGGGCCATGGGAGAGGCTTGGTGCTGGATGATAGTTAATAAACTTCATAGACCACCCCGCTTAGAATTTAATTAAATATTCTAGAAGTTTCAGTTAGCTTTGACTGTCTCTCCCCCCAAGTCTGAAATCTAGAACTTTCTTGAACCTACAGGTTCTAGAGAAACATGAAACATTGTTGGCTCTGATTTCAACTGAGAAATTAGTTCTCAAGTTTGAGAGGTTTCTGTAAAGGGGCCCATGCTATGACAAACCACTAGTGTTTTTGCAAACCCAATCCTTTTGATAAAAACAATAGGCCCTTGACTAAGTCCCCAAGGACTTACTTATGCCTCAGTTTTTAGTTGAGAAATCACTAACTTCTGCACTTTGTTAAGCCCTACTTCCCTGAGTCTGTATTTCAAAAACAGTAGCCTTGTTTTCTAAATATGAAACATATTAAATGTTCTTTTTAAAAGTACCTATCCCCCCTCCTGCAAATCAAGGCTTGTGGAGCCAAGCAAGCCTGAACCACGGTGCCTCCAATAAGTCTTACTACTGCTATCTGCCCTGTCACTGCAAAGCCTGTGGCTACATCTTCAGCCCTTTTTTCTTTTCCTGTCTTTCTTTTCTTTTTTTTTTTTTAACATTTTGAGACATGATCTCACTAAGTTGCTCAGGCTGGCCCTTATTAACTTGGGATCCTCCTGCCTCAGGCTTGTAGCTAAGCAGCCAGCTGGCTTTATCTCAATTTAAACAAGAATCTTACAGAGAAAATCTACAGTAGCAATTAGTATTCATTTACCAAAGCATCTTCCTGTTTAGACACTAGACTTGGGCACACATCCTTGCCTCAGACCTCCAGCTAAGTCTGCGTAAGAAATCTAGTGTCCACTTTGGCCAGCAAGCCTCCTGTTCCATCCTGGGGTAGTCCTGGCCACTCAGAACCCCTGAAGTTTCTCACAGCTTTCGGCAGCCCTATTTCAAGGACTCAGCAGGAGCAGGGCCACACTGCAGGACTCAAGTTCCAAGTCTATTTCAGAGGGGACTGGCTGCCTAGTTAACAATGGGTAGAGAAAGGATGAGTAGGTAACTGGTTTTCTGTCCCAAGATGAACTTGGTCCTACTAGCGTCGTCATGCTATAATCACTGAGGATTAGGGCCTTGGATAATAAGGCATGACAGCGGGCCGGGGAGATGGCTCAGTGCAATAAGTGCTTTCCTGGCAAGCACAAGGACCTGAGTTCAATCCCTGGTTCCGAAAAAAAAAAAAAAAAAAAGGCATAACATCTCAAGAGAGAAACGATTCCTCCTCTGCTGCTGTGGCACGAATTACTTCTCCAAGGTACTCCATAAACATGGACACTGGAGGAGTCCTTATTTGTTCTCCCACTCCCCCTGCTGCCAACAGAGGCGAATGACCCTGGAGAGGCGCACATTCCCTGCAGCCCACATTCTCACCCTGGTTCAATCCTAGTGACTTGGGGAAATACACAGACAGACAAGTTGCAGACAACCCCAGACTTTTTCTTTTGGCAGCTAACACGGGCCTTATAGCACGTTTCAAGGTGACAGAGGAACCCCAGAACAAATGGGCAGGAACCACAATTCTTGTTCAGGGCTTTACAATGAAGCTGGAGCAAGTGACCAGGAAGTTGGTGACACTCAGGAAGGCAATCTCAAAAAGCAAGCACCCAAGAGACTTCGGAACACCCTTCACTCCTGGGCTTCTGGGACTTCATCCTGAGGTCTCTGTGCTGGGCATCACATGCCTCCTTTTATGGACCAAGGGGTGTGTGTGCAAGTCATCCGCGGGGTGGGCAGGAGGGTGGGAGGGCAGTATCCCTTCACAGCCCAGCAGAGGTAAGCTTTGAAAAAGGCCAGTGGTACAGCAGAGGCCGCAAACGTGGGGCCAGCTGGAGAGGCTTCCCTGCCCTCCCTCTTTCCGACTAAATACGAAGGCCAATGGTGATGAAGATGAGGAAGAGCAGCAAGATGACCGTGGTGTCGCGGCTGTCGTCCCAGCTGAAGCTCTTCTTGGCCCGGTCCTCCTGCAGCTTGCGCAGGGCCTCTCGCCGGGCCCGCAGGCGCTGCTCACGCTGCAGCTGCATCCCGTAGTGCGCCTGGTAGAAGGCGTCGAAGTCGAACAAGGTGCGGCCGGGGTCCGGGGCTGCCCGATCGGCGCTGCGGACGCGAGAGGAGACCGGCGGGGAGCGCGGTGGGTCAGGGGAACCTGCGGGCGTCGTAGAAGGTCGGACGCCGGGGCCCCGCAGGTCCTCGTCGCTAAGAAGTCCGCGGTCGTATTTGCGACGGAGGCTGGCACTGCCCAACACCAGGTACGCCTGGGAGATGCGCGTGAAGCGCTCGGCAGCCTCTGCGCTCCCCGAGTTGCGGTCCGGGTGGTAAAGGAAACACTGCCGGTAGTACGCCGCCTTTATTTGCGCCTGAGTGGCTGTGGAAGGGACGCCAAGCAGGTCATATAGCGCCGTGCGCGAGTATGAGCCATTGCCCCGGGTATAAGTCCTCGCTGTTAAGGCCTGACCTGCTGCCGAATTTTGTGGCCATCTCACAGGTTGCCACAACCTCCACAGAACTAGTCGCGGATACCTCGGACAGCGCGCGGCTGCCATCTTGAAAGGAGGTGGGCGGTGCGAGATGAACTGCCCAATGGGAGTAGGGGGTGGTGCGCCGACCCTCTGCCGTGAAGACCAATCAGATGAAAGGAAGGCGGGGAGAGTGTTGTGGCAGACATATTATGAGGCGGTCGCAGCTCTGATGACGTAAAAGCTGCGCTTCTGGGAACTCCGGCGCTGGCGTGCGGTTTGCTGAGGCTTGAGGATGGCGTTTCGCGGCCGGAGACCCGAGCACGGCGGCCCTCCGGAGCTGGTGAGACGGTGGACCGCGGGCATCCTTTTCTTGTATGGCCACTGCCTCTGGATTCTTTCCTCTACATGCCATTTTTTTTTCCTCCTCAGTTTTACGACCAGAATGAAGCCCGGAAATACGTTCGCAAGTAAGGGGAGGCTGGTTACCCGCGCGGCTTGTGAGCTGGGGGCGGCGAGCTGCCCCTATTGTAGGCGTTGCTTGGAAAGCTCTTAGAGCTGTGGGGAGGGGATGAGAAGGGACCGGGGTTGGTGCTGTTTGTGTCACTGGGAAGGAATGTCGTTTTTATGCCATTGGACCCTGTGGAGTCAGCGTCAGAGTGGGTGTGACCGTGCCTGCCTTACGTGAGACATTTTCAGAATTTAGTGTGATAGATTTTGTGGCTAAACTACCCGAGTTAGGCTCGAATCCTCCTGCCTCAGCCTCCCAGAGTGCTGGGATCACAGGCATGTACCACAGTGCCCAGCTGACAGCTTGCTTTGAATATGTGGTAGGGTAGGCAGTATGTAGAGGAAACGAATAAAGTGTCGTTACCATTGTGGAGAAGGCTTGTTGGGTTCCCATTTACATGATCTCACCAAAATTTTACAACAGTTGACATGGTGTTTAAAACTTTTCTATAGAGGGTAGTTATTTGCATAGCTATGAAGTCTTCCGACAGGTAAAGGGTAGAGCATGATCTTCTAAGCCTCATTTTTCCTTTTTGATATACTACATAGTAGAAAATTCTGTAGATACGCATTCTGTCCTGTTTAAATTGGTGTCCAAAGGGCAGGCTAGATAGCTCAGTGGACTAAAGCGCCTGCTTAGGCAGGGTTCGATCCCCAACACGCTGTGCCGGCCCTGCTCCCAGGGCGCGCTGAGACCACCACTGAGACTGTGTGTGGTGGCACGCACCTGTAATCCCAGCGCTTGGGAGACTGAAAACAGGAGGATCACTACGAGTCTGATCTACGTAGTGAGACCTGTAGACCCTGTAGACCCTGTCCTAATTACAGGAAAAAAAAAATTGGTGTCCAAGACAAAGAGTCAAAAATTTCAAGCAGTTATAATTATGAATAAGGGGCTGGGGAGATGGCTCAGTGGAATAAGCGCTTCCCTGGCAAGCAAGGGGGCCTTAGTTCAATCCTTGGTTCCACAAAAGGAAAGAAAGAAAAAAAAAAAAAAAAAAAAGAATAAAATATAGACTTTCCTCTGGTTTCAAAATCTCGGTGGTAAGGATTTTGAAAGCTATTAGGAGGAATTCTCTTGATCTTGGGAAGGCCAGACCAGATATACATCTGTTGATTCTTAATTATTTATTTTTGTCTTTTTGAGCCAGGGTTTTGCTGTGCAGTTCAGGCTGGCCTTGAACTCACTTTGTAAAACAAAACAAACCAAAACAACTCACTTTGTATCCCAGGCTGGCCTTGAGCTTGCAGTGCTCCCCCTGCCTCAGCCACCTGAGTGCTGCTAGTATTACCAGCGTGTACCACCATAGCTAGCCCTATATCTGATGATTTTGTTTTTGTGTTTTGGGGGATTGAGATAGGATCTCAGTGTAGTGCACATTGGCCTTGAACTTGCTTATGTAGCCCAGGCTGGCCTTGAACTAATGACAGTCCTCCTGCCTCAGCCTCCCAAGTGCTGGGATTACAGGAGTGTGCCACCATGCCTGTCACACGTGTATTAAAATGCGGCTAATGTGGAGGACTTTGTATGGAGAACTGCAAAACGTCTTATAAAAGTTCGCTTATGTTCTACTGGGTATTGAACTGTCTGAGCTGCATGTCCAGCTCTTTTTAAACTTTTGAGATAAGGTTTCACAGAGCTGCTAAATTGCCCAGGCTGGGCTTGGACCTGTGGTCCTTCTGCCTCAGCCTGTCTGCATAGTAGGTACAGTGTACCACCACTCCTGACTAATTTTTCTCTTTGATTGTATTTTTAAGTAATATTTTGGGCACATTGGGTTAAGTGTGTTATTTTATATATGGGGTTAAGAAAACTTAACTACAGTGTACCTATTTCTTTTCATCTTTGGCTACCTGAAGGGCAAAAGGCTTGCATTATATTTCTCGTGTACAGAACTGCTGATGGTTTTTCTGTACTTTGAGTTGGTTTTTGTGCTGGGAAAGATAGATTCTGGGCACATATCAATGAGCTGCATCCTCAGCCCATGACCAGTTTTGTTGTGCATTGTTGGTCTTTATATGTGAGAGTAACTGTGGTAGAAAATTGTTTCAGAAAATGTGTTCCAAAGTAGTAAAGCATCAACACCTGATAGGAGGGCTGGGGAGATAGCTCAGCAGTCTAAAGTGCCTGCTTAGGGATTGTGGTTCAGTCTCCAGCACCACATGCCATGCCTGCCATGCCCCCAGGGTGGGCTGAGCTGGCCACAAAAAAAAAACCTGATAGGAGTTTTGGTGATCCCTGGGCAGTCTTTATCTCTGTGATTTCTTTGCCTTCACATCAGCTTTGCTGATGTTGTGCTTTCTTCTTCTTCTTCTTCTTCTTCTTCTTCTTCTTCTTCTTCTTCTTCTTCTCCTTCTCCTTCTTCTTCTTCTTCTTCTTCTTTTTCTTCTTTTGTAAGGATCTACAGGGTCTTACTACATAGATTGGACTCATAGTAATCCATCTGTGTTCGGCCTCCCAAAGAACTGGGATTACAGGCACACATCACTATGCCCAGTCTTGTGCTTACAACTTCTGTTACAGCAAAATAATGAATTGCTATGTTACATGGATTTTTAGGGACCCATTTAAATAGCTGAAGTTGAATTTGTTGATCTCAGTAAAGATTAAAAGGGTCAGGCTGGGTGTGGTGATGCATACCTGCAATCTTAGCGCTTGGGAGGCTGAGGCAGGAGGCACGCCATGAGTTTGAGACCAGCCTGGGATACATAAGTGAGTTTAAGGCCAGCCTGCACTACATAGTGATACCCTATCTCAAATAAATAAATAAATAGGGGTGTGTGTGTGTGTGTGTGTGTGTAAAGACTGTGACCAGCTTGATTGTACTTTTATCTTCTTTGGCCTTTTTGGGCTGGAAGAGGTATTAGTCAGGCTCCATCACCACTTGCTTGTGTTTCTACCTGTTCAGCTCTCGGATGATTGCTGTCCAGAGCAAGATGACCGAGCGAGCACTGGAGCTCCTTTGTTTGCCCGAGGGACAGCCCTGTTACCTGCTGGATATTGGGTGAGCTCTTGGGGCCTGGTTCTCATCAGCTTAGTAGTGGTGGAAAGTTTGCTGCTCAACTCTTTTTAAGTCTCTGTTTGTGTCTTCCAGCTGTGGTACTGGCCTGAGTGGAGATTACCTTACGGAAGAGGGACACTTTTGGGTGGGAATGGACATCAGCCCTGCCATGCTGGGTGAGTGTGTCCTGTTTTGTCACCAGAACCAGGTACTCCCATGAGTGTGAGCTGCCATGTTTATCGTGTCCTTGTTTCGTGTCCTTTCTCTAATGTAGATGCTGCCTTGGACCGAGAACCAGAGGGAGATCTTCTTCTTGGGGACATGGGCCAGGGTATTCCTTTCAAACCTGGTTCCTTTGATGGTTGTATCAGGTGAGAATCTTCACTGCTAGCTTTTAATCTTTTTTTTTTTTTTTTTTTTTTGCAGAACTGGGGATTGAACTCAGGCCCTTGCACTAGCCAGGCAAGTGCTTATTCTACTGAGCTATCTCCCTGGCCCCTAGCTTTTAATCTTGTAGGTCAGTATTTTCTAAGCCTTGCTGGGGAGCAGAGACATACAGGATACTAAAATATAGGTCCTTTGAGATTTTCAAGCTAGTAAATTCAGAGGAGCACCCCCCTGCCCTTTTTTCTCCCTTTATATTCCAAAACTGTTTACTTCTATGATCAGTTGGCATTGTCAGGTGTGGGTACTTCTGGTCTGGATTCTGCCTCTGCCTTGAATATGTTAGGGGTGGAGTTAGGGTGCAGCCTTTGAGTGTCTAGGGACCATCTTGTGGCCCAGCCACCATCTTTTGGGGCCCCTACAGTGTCCCTCTTAGGGTAGCTGCTACTGCCTTGCAGGTCCCAGCAGCCATCTGGTTTTCAGCTTTTTAAAGCTCTAGTGGAGACGTGGTGGGACTTCTCTTCTTTGGCTTTAGAGCTTTTTTTTTCAGAACCGGGGATTGAACTCAGATCCTTGCGTTTGCCAGTCAAGCGCTTATCCTACTGAGCCATCTCCCTGGCCTTTAGAGCTTTACTTAGTTGTTGGGGTCACATTTTGAAGATGTGCACTGTACTGTGATAACCAGCCTTAGAAGACTGAAACTGCTGTTAGAAATTTGACGTTTTCTTTCTGTCTGGCATTTGGGGTAGTGTTCTATGTGTGGGGTGGATGTGAGGAATAGAAGAGAAAGGCAGAATTATCTGCTGGGGAGCTCTCCCTGGGTGGGTGAACCTAGGTTGAGAGACAGGAGATGGAGATAGGATCTGGTGAGGAATAACTATTTAGATTTGAAGATTTTTTTTTCTGGAAGATTTTCTTATGTGCAGGAGTAAGATTGAGATTGAGGTGCATTTCTAAGGTAGCAGCAGTGTTTTGGTAATGTTTAGGTGAGGTTTCCAAAGCTGCAAAACCAAACAGACAAACACAACCACCAAAGGCCAATCATGTAAATTTGAAGAGTAAATAGTCCTCTGTGTGCTGGGGATTGAAGCCCTGTGCATGGTAAGTGTGTTAGTGCTAAACTGGGCCTCTAGCTCATTTTTTCATTTCTTTCTAGTTTTGAGACTTGATATGACAAGCCTTTCTTTTTCTTTTTTTTTTTCAATTTGCACTACCCTATAATCTAGCATGTGGGAGGCTTAGGCAGAAGGAGCACCACAAATTTAAGGTCAGCCTGGGCTCCACAGTGAGACCCTATTTATTTTTTTAATGTATTTGATACAGGGTCTACAGGGTCTCACTACATAGATCAGACTCATAGTGATTCTCCTGTTTTCAGCCTCCCAAGCACTGGGATTACAGGTGCGCGCCCCGACGCCCAGTCTCAGTCACCATTGCAGGGCGCCCCATGGGTGGGGCTGGCATGGCAAGCTGGGGATCAACCCTGGCAGCTGTGCTCTGCCTAAGCAGTGCTTTAGTCTGCTGAGCTATCTGGCTGGCTCGAGACCCTGGTTCGTTTTTTTTATTTATTTATTTATTTATTTATTTATTTTTTGTGGAACTGGAGATTGAACTCAGACCCCAGGGAAGCTCTTATTCTACTGAGCTATCTCCCTGGCCCCGTATTTAGTTAGACCCTGTTTTAATAATTTTTTTTTCCTCACATAGGCCCTCATCTAGGGTGCTATGGGATACTTGGGAGGAAAACACAGGCCTTGATTGGTAGATTTAAACTGTTCTGCTATGAACTTTGTTTCCTGATACCCACATGCATACACTTCAGCTTCACATATAGGTAGAAATGAGGTGTGCACATTTTCCAAAGGATTTCTAACTAATTTATAAGCTTACTAACAATTATAAATAGTTAAGTTCTTCCATATCCTTGCTAGCCATCCCTGCTTTTAATCTTGGTGTTTTTTTTTTTTTTTTTTGGTACAGGGTCTCACTGTACCAAATGTACCAAGCTGCAAAAATGCAGCTTGGAATTGTAGTGATCCTCCTGTCTCAGCCTCCCCAGCACTGGGATTACAGGTGTGTGCCACCATGTCTGAGTTTGGTGACGAGCATGATGTAATGCCAGCATGGAATGTGGTACCAGGGATTGAACCCTGGTCCTTGCACTTGCTATGCAGGCACTTAGACCCGTGAGCTATATCCTTAGCCCATTCCTGCTTTTAAAATTATCTATGGGGGCTAGAAATGTGGCTTGCTAATAGAATACTTGCCAGTATGCTGAAGGCCTGGGTTTGATCTTAGCCCTGCAAATGAAGGGAAAAAAAGATTATGTATGGCTTATGAGGTACTGTAAGTCAGTCCTGGCTCGTGTGGGCTATGTGTGAGGTATTGTGGGCACTGGAGCTGTGGGGGACAGTGCTGCGCACCAGAGCGCTCCGAGGACCAGAGGGGCTAGGTGGCATTTGTGGTCAGGGCTTGGCTGCTCAGTGAGAGGACAGTGTGAGCAGAGGCCCAGGCGCAATGTGAAAGAAGTGTAGAAGTTCACAGAGATGTATGTGAGATTTCACGGGAGATGAGGTGAGGTGGCATGGGCTCTCAGAAGGCTTTTTGGTGAGTCCAAAAAAGTTGGGGCTTTTTCTAGTAGACAGGAGCTAAGGAGTGACAGGATCTGATCTCTGTGTTGGAAAGGGGTTCTTTCTGGCAGAAGTACAGCCAGTATAGCCAGTTGGGAAATTGCTGAGGATTTTTTTTTATAGTTGAATTTGTTTTGTTTTTGAGAAAGGTTGGCTTTGAACTTACTGTGTAGCGCAGAATGGCCTCAAATGCATGGCAGTCCTCCTGCCTCAGTCCCCTGAAGGCTGGGATTACAGGTGTGCGCCACCACACCAACTCCTGAGGCATTCACAGAGTGTGGGGGGGATAGGGGGTAGGTGCTGAAGCAGAGGGGAGAAGCAGAGGCCAGGAGAGGCAGCGGATGAGGTTCTGTGGCTCTGTGCTCTTGGCAGAGAGGCAGGATCAGAAGGGTGGGTAGGGGCCAGCACAGACATTCTCAAGTACAGCAGAAAGACCCAGCTAGGGGTAGCGAGTGAGTGGCAGCCAAGTATGCATCCTGTGGTTGAGAGAGGGAAGAGGCCAGGTGAGCAGAGATGGTGTTGACACCGACATGGAGGTCCCCTCCACACTGGCTGCAGGGAGAGTGTGAATACTGCCCCTCTACACAGCCTGGTGGGTCTGGTTGTCAGGTGGCCAGGAGGATCAGCACCTCCCAAGAAGGGAGCAGTGGACACAGGATCAGGATCCCTGGAGATGATGGCAGAGTCCTGAAGGGGTGGGAGGGTGGGAAAGGGAAGGGGTTGCACCCCTCCTGACATCTCCCTTCTTTTTCAGCATTTCTGCCGTGCAGTGGCTCTGTAATGCTAACAAGAAGTCCGATATTCCTGCCAAGCGCCTGTATTGCTTTTTTTCTTCTCTGTATTCTGTGCTTGTGAGTATGAGATCTGCTGCCCATCTGGGCTGGCTGCCTGTCCCTGCCTCGCCCTGCAGTTGAGTGAGGGGTTGAGGGGTCCCATGATGGGCAGGCCACTCAGGTAGGGCCACATTGGGTACCTGGACCTCCTTGTGGGGATTTCTTTCCTGGCCCTGATCCTGAACAGAAGGCTGAGCTCAATGGGCTGATGTTTTATCAAGCCAGAAGACAGTGATGTCAGTGTTTGAAACCAGCTCACTGAGTTCAACTAGGCCACTCCTTTTGGCCACCATTCATGTGTTCTCTCTGCTAATCAGTTTTCTTGATTGATTCACTGGTTCTAGGGATTGAACCCAGGACCTTCTGGAGACAAGGTCTCATTAAGTTGCCAAGCTGGGCAGTTTATTTTTGGCGGAACCGGGGATTGAACTCAGGCCCTTGCGCTTGCCAGGGAAGCGCTTATTCCATTAAGCCATTTCCCCGGCCCTGGGCAATTTATTTATTTATTTTTCCCATTTTATTTTATTTTTAAAATTTATTTACTGACTGGGCATTTTAATAAGTTATTTGGGAGGGCTGGTGAGATGGCTCAGTGGTCTAAAGCACCTACTTAGAACAA